ACTAGATAGAGCTAATCCCTATCTCCGAAACGTCGTTTTACGTTTTATATTTACTAGACGATGGATAATATCCAAGAAAAATTTTATTCAATTGACTCTTCACCATCGTCAAGAAATTTTAGATTTGATACAAATAAATGTAGCTTAACACTGAGTTAGTAACCGCATCTCACCTCATTCTTTGTCACGGTACTAATCTCCGAAAATTAAAGACAGATTCATTTGATATTCGACATACAGATTTTAGTGGCGAGTTTTACACCACAAAACAATTAAATACATTAAAATAAACACGAGTCCAAAATCCTTAATTTTCAAGCTAAGACCAGAAGTTTGAATAAAACAATTTCAGATGAGCAATGATAAGGAATTCTTCTTGGGCTACCAGCCACGTAAGGTGGTTTAATGGAGAAAACAACAACGCTTTGAGAACCGCCTTCGTCCTCGTCCTCAGGGTACTCCCCTGAGGACAAAGCACAACTCAACAGCAGAGGTAATCACATCTTTTGAAACTAACAACAGCTGTGCACTCACCTGAAGAATTGTCTTGGCATGAGATATCTTTGGATTAGCTATCGGAAGTCTGTTAATACTAGCTTCATCCAACCGGCTCAGATCACCGATAGTATGGATGTTTTTACGTGTCAGCTCAACAACCAATGCCTTTGTCCTAGAATCGTAACCATATCAGAAATAAATACACAGAGTTATGCGATATTTTCCGCTACATCTCAAAACGTTCAGAGGCATTCCAGCTTCGGGGTTTTATTTAGACGACGACATCCATTACAACTGACATGAAGCGCTCAAGAAACATAAAATATTCACTCAGTCCTACCGAGTGAGAACATCTTAAAACCAAGCAGATGTATAGTGGAAAAGGTCCCCATGCCCAAGCACCATGCCATTAAGGTGTAATGAGAGTAGAGGTGAGAGGTCAGCTTCATGCTCCTGCGTCCAGACAGGGACTGGCCTGTACAGCAAGTGAAGTGAATTCGAAGAAAGCGCACGCACATATCAAAGGACCAGTAAGACTCGTATTATAATCGCGTTCCAGTTTACACAGAATGGAGAGATTCATACTTACCACATGACATGTGTTGTGAGACGGGGCGCAACGCATTCAATTGGATGGTTACAGTTGATCAGCGCCGGGAAGAAAGCATCTTGACTGTTCAAAAGTTCTGTGGCAGTTTCTTCCACTGACCCCTGTGATGTCACACCAGTAAGATCAGGCGAACTTTGACTCTGTGGCGAAGTTTCTAAAGACGTAAAACACACATCGGCTATATTACTGCTGATTCAACTTGCGTGGTTTGATGAATCCACTTCAGAACAACAAAACTTACAAAAACACAACCACACATTTGTGTTTCGGAGTCCAACATTTCAGTGATGCAGTTATAACCACAAACTATTTCAAAAGAGAAACTGCACGTTGCTCTTACTAGGAGAGGAGAGGAGCAACAGATTCTGTCAATAGTAACGGGTGAGGCACATTTATTCTGGGAACACTAAACTATAATACATTAGCACACAAGAAGAAGCAGCTTCTCTTTCAATTACATCACTTAGAGTCCCATGAACATGGCACTTTCAATTATGAAGAAAGAGAAATACAGCAGGGAAAAAAAACTCTAACCTTCTGCATACGGAGTCGTAGCGGTCGAGAGGGCAGGATCAGAGCTTTTATCGTGGATACCGGTGTCGATGCTAACCGCTGCACACTGTGTTCGCGCCTTTCTTCTCCTACCAAGTAGCATCCTAGTTGGAGAATGCGGCGAGCGTCGTTTGCTCATGCTTGTACAGGCACTATCCACAGCGTCATGTGTGGAAAACAACCTTGTGCCTGATACCTCAGGATCAGGAAACCACACCCGCTTTTTCTGAACCAATGAAAACAAGTACACGTAAAAAAGTTCAGAGAACAAATAAGCAGAAATTTCTTGTTCATTCAGTTTACAACACGATATTAATTACTTGATCAAATACGCTTGGTGACTATTAAATGCAGATTGGGAGCAATATGGGAATAGATCACGTCTTACTTTAAGTTTAAGCCATGCAACTCACAGGAAAACGTGTCCCAGTACCGATTTGTCCACCACAAATTCTATATAGACTACCCTGGGCATGTATTTTGGAATGGATTACATATTTCCGACCTTCTTTGTAAATACAAACTGTTGTATGGAAAGTTAGATATCCACCAAGCTTTCAGTGACGACGCACACGCACAAGAAGTTTTGAATGTGCAAGAGAGCACGCATATCTATGTACATGGAACGCATAGACCAGCTGGTGGTACCCAGAGATTTCCTAAATCCTTATTCAGACAAGCAGTTTGATTCAGAAACAGAAAAGGGGGGGGGGGGGATAAGAAGGAAACAGCAGCCTACTGTAAAGCATCTACTACCTTCACAGGGCAACACAGTAAAAAACAGACAAAAGTCCAATTCCAAATGGGATTTGAACCTATGATCCAAATACAAGGGGGGGGGGGTATATGACTCTAGAATTTTATCATCACTTTAATTTAGCAAGTAAGAATGTGAAGATGGCTGCCTTCTGGGTTGTAGTACCGTACAATCTGGTATATGTTTATCGACGTTTCAGATGTCCTTGCTGCCTTCATCATCAGGGCGATGAGTAAAAGTGAGTACTCGTACATCTTTAAATTCACTGCTGTGAAAACCTCGACTGCTACTAAGTATGAGTACATACAACATAAACATACCTTAGAAGGTGGGGTACCCTGTTCACCAGACTGCTTCAGCACCCGTTTATAGGGAATTTCAGCAAGGCTGGAAACGCAAGATGGTGACGGAGTCTCACATTCTGAAACTGAACACTGCAGCCTGGAAAACAACAGACATCTACATTAAACAATAAAAGTATCTACGTGGTACATAACTGACATAAAAGTCGTTCTTGCACCTCATCACACAATGAGAGCTCGCAGCACTAAATAAAAGCAAGTCATCAGCTTCATGCTCCAGCCACTAGGATCATCAGATCAAGGGCGCGTTTCAAGCAGCGTCACGAGAAACGCGCGCAGAACTACGGTGTGTGAAAACACGAAAGCAACAGACCACGTGGGAAGTTAATATTAAAATTAATCTTTCTGAAGTAGGATGTGGGTGGACTGGATTCATCTGGCTCTGGAAAGGATCAAGTGGCAAGATCCTGTAAAGTTTTCCATAAGGAAAAGGCAATTTTCCGTCAAGCTGCGTGATTATCAGCTTCTCAAGGACTCGCTCATATTTGGCATGTCATGGGTTCAAATTTTCAACCGCAGACCAGCTAATCTGACTGAGGGTTTTCAATACACCCCGGCAAATTCAAAGGTAATACCTCACGCAAGACCATGATTGATTCGTCTCACATCATTACCAGGCAATGCTATGCAATCTGGGCTCTTGACAGCATCATTAAATAACTTACAAATAAATGAATTAACAAAACTGTAATTAATCTGAAACAGAGCCAATGGCATCTCATTTTGGGTATTCATCAGTGTTTGAACATGCACACAAAAGTTTACATGGTACTTACCTCTCTAAAGGTGTTAAGCTAGATTCAGTGCCTGCATCTGACACACCACACGGAAGTTTCCTGCTCGAAAGTGGTGGCGTAGCAGCAATGCTTCTGATTTCTTCAGATTTCTGTGGGACAACAGGCGACGAGGCTTGCGAAGTTCCCACGTCATTTACGGCAACTGCAAGACCAACCATGTACTGTGCCCGCCCTCCTGTCGAGCGCTTACGATGATTCTTCTGAGTCTGATTTGACTCGAGGCTTCCTAATGGTGAAGAGAATGCTCGAAGCAATGAGCGTGGACTGCTGAGTAAGGACTTTGGAGATGAGGGCAACAAAGCTTTATCGTTATCTGATAATGTATTGTTACACTGTGATGGCGTACCAACAGGACTCCTATCACAGACTGATTCTTCATTTACATTCTCAGCATTGTGTGATAATCTCTTTGTTTTGGAAATTCCTGTATCAACATGGTCATTAATATTAGAATCTACTTGTCCAAGAGAAACTTCAAGTGCCACACGACTGGAACTTGCCGATCTCTTACGAGGCCGTAACGGCGAGGCCAATTTAGAATCTACCGCTGAAATATTTGTGTCATTCGACTCCAGTGCTTTATTTATATCTGATATATCTATAAAATGGTCATCAGATGTTTTTTCCTGAGCAAATGCTTTAAGAATATCATCTGCACCAGACGTTTTATGGTCCAATTTGGATATAATATCCTCTTTAATTTTTTTGTTACCCTTGTCTTTGCAATGGTCGATAGTGACAGACTTTGGCGTGACCAAACGCCGTGCTTCATCTTCCACAAGTTCCGCTTCACCCAACACTTTTTCTGAATATGAGAATATAATTTTACTTCCCTGTATCTCCGCGTCACTTACGACTTCTGAATCTTGGTCAACTTTCCTTTTTGTACCTGAACACTTGGAACTTAATTCTGTGGTGTCATCCACAGGACAAATCTTTATACTTTCATCAACATTTGAAGACCCCAGTTCTTGTTTCAATATGGGTTTTGGAGCATCATCTCTCATGACAGACACATTTTCATTTTCAGACTGCTTAGATTGTTTCGTGAGATCAGTCACAATAGTACTATTTGATTTCAACCCACTAACACGGTGCTTGAAAGTGGATTTTGAAGCAGCAATTAAAGGAGTAATTTCAGATTCTGACATGTCAATCCGTTGCTTTGACTTAGATAGTGAAGTGTCTTCTTCGGTGGTTGTCGAAATAAACGTTTCAGATTCAGATGTTTCAATCTGTTGTTTGGATGGAGGTTTTAAAACACCTTTGACATCTGTAAATACATTATCTTGACATTTTAAAATGTTAATCTGTTGCTGAAATACACCATCCTCTGAAGCTGATGAATTAATCTCCTGTTTAGGATGAGGTTTTATACTGCCATATTTTCTTTTTGTTGAAACACAAGCCTCAGATATTGGTGTACTAAGTCGGTGCTTTGATCTAAGTCTTCGAACCTCTTCATTACACTCGGATACTGACGCGTTAATCTGGTGGTCGGATTGAGGCACCGGAGGGTCTCCTCTGCCGACTACTGAAATGTTATCCGCAGAGTCCGAAGTGTTAATTTGTTGCCTGGACTCCAGCTTCTGAGTGTCCTCACTCCTGACTGCTGAAACATCATTCTTCAATACTGATACATCAATTTGTGTCTTGAACTGGTACTTCAAAATGTCTTCTTTCCTAACACTTGAAATAATGCCTTCAGAATCTGATATGTTAATCTGTTGCTTGGAATGAGGTTCTGTAGAGTCTTCATTGACAACACTTGAAACATTCACCTCATGTTTGGACTGAGGCTTTGGGAAATCTTTTTCACCAACTCTTGAAACGTTACACTCAAACTCTGATGTGTTAATAATCTGCTGTTTCAGTCGAGGCTTTGAAGTGTCTTCTTTGCCAAATTCTGAAGTGTTAATCTGCCTTTTGGATTCCTGTTTTGGATTGCCTTCACTGCTACCTGTTATAACATTATTTTCAGATACAGGCTGCCTTGACTGCAGCTTTGGGTTGCCTTCACTGTCTACCATCAAAGCATTACTCTCGACTACTGATGTGTCAATCTGCTGCTTAGACTGAGATTTCAAACCATCTCCTTCACACACATCAGACTTTGAAGTGTTGACGTGTTTCTTGGATTGCCGTTTATCACTATCTTCATTCATGGATGGTGGAACGTTAACTGTGGATGACATATTAATCTGTTTCTTAGATATAGGCTTTAGACTGTCTCTTTTGCTAGTTCTTGACACTTTATCTACAGATTTTGATCTGTTACACTGTTGTCTGGTTCGAAGTTTTGGAGTTTCTTCATTTTTGAGTATTAAAACATTACTGTTGGTTACTAATGTATTAACCTGTTTCCTGCATTGAGGTTTCTGAATGCATTCTTTGCCAGCTTTCAAAATATATTTCTCAGATTTTGATGTGCTAGTCAGTCGCTTAGATCGAAGTGTTGGTTTATCTTCTTTGCCAACTGTTGAAACACTCTCATATGTGATCTGTTGTTTGGATCGAAGTTTTGGAGTGTCTTCTTTGCAAACAACTGAAACGTCATCGCTGGATTTGGACGTATCAATCTGTTGTTTGGATCGACGTTTTGGAGTGTCTTCTTTGCAAACAACTGAAACGTCATCGCTGGATTTGGACGTATCAATCTGTTGTTTGGATCGACGTTTTGGAGTGTCTTCTTTGCAAACAACTGAAACGTCATCGCCGGATTTGGACGTATCAATCTGTTGTTTGGATCGACGTTTTGGAGTGTATCCAGTACTGACGATTGAAATATTAACCTCAGATAATGTGTTAATCCACTCCTCAGACTGAGGTGTTAGAATGTCTTCTTTACCACTAGATGAAACATTATCCTGAAGTTCTGAGGTGTTAATATGTTCCATGGTTTGAGGTTTTGGAGTGTCTTCATTGCCAACTACTGGAACATTAACATCAGATAGTGTTACATTAATTTGTTGCTGCTGCTCAAACTGATGTTTCAATGTGTCTTCTTTCTCAATTGCTGAAACATTATCCTGAAACTCTAATCTGTTAATCTGCTGCAAGCATCTATGTTCTGGAGCACCTTCTTCAGCAGCTGTTGAAATACCATTCTCAGACACCATGACTGGAGAAATATTATCTTCAGGTCTTAACATGTTAGTCTGTTCCCTGGTTCTCAGTTTCAGAGTATCACATTTGAGAGTCATCAAAACACTATTCGCAGTTGTAGGTTTGTCAAACTGTTGCTTGGATGCTGATTTTGAAGTATAGTTCTCAGTCACAAGTGCAATACTTTCGTCAGATTCGGACTTGCTCTGATGCTTAAATCTGAGATATGATGTGTCATCTACTACAAGCGGAACACCACCCTCAGATTTCAATGTATTATACCTTCGTGGCCTATGTTTACGAGGACCAACATTCATAACCACATCTGACACTCTTATCTGTTCATTAGACCTGGATTCTGAAACATAATCTGCCGTAACAACTGGAACACTTCCCTTGGATTCTGTAGTATCTGTTTTGGCAACACTCGAAATATTACCTTCGCATTTTGATGTAATAGTCTCTTTTTCAGATCTTGGTTTTGGAGTATCATCTCCAGAAGTTGAGACACTATCCACACTGACCTTGTTGGCAGATTCTTTCATGCTGTCACCTACTGAAGAATTGCTACCTAATGGTATACTTGGCTTGTCCTGTACTGAATCCATCTGATTAATATCAGAAGAGTTACCATACAGAGTCCGAGTAGCAGGAAGAAGTTTCAGGCGATAAGTTTCTTCCATTTCACTTTTGGCCGTTGCAGACTTTTCCTCCTGCATACCTGTTGGTGTTTTGCTGCCAGGAGTATATACTTTAAAGGGAGAATTACAGTGTTCAGGCATAAGAACCACCAGTTTCTGGTCACCCTGAGATATATTAACCTCAACACCAGGATCTAAAGTAGTATCAATTCTACAAACAGACACACTACATTTGTGCATAAGCGGAAACCTAGAAGCTATGAGCGATGAAGCACTTAAATCCTGAGAACTTTCAATAACATCCTCAGAGTCTGCAACTTTCTGGAACTCAGTCTGTACTTCTTGTGACCCAGTACTAGTGTTCTCTGTTTCAAAGCATGGCAGAGTTACCTCTGATTCAGAAAAAGATGTTTCTTCACACCGTAGAGAAGTCTTCAAATCTAGTTTGCTCATGCTACTTTCTGTAAATATTTCTTTTTGTGACAATGTAACCACATTGCTCACTGTCTTACTTGTCTGAACGTCTAATTCTTCTGAACATTCTGAAGCCTCAAATTTGCTGTTCATACTTTCACGTGTATTTAGATAAGGAACAGTCACCTTCATCGGCTTTTGAGAGCTTGACGTGTGTTTTAAACCGGAACCTGCAGTGTCATAACCAACCACGGTTTTGATATCTTCATCCAGCCTGGTTGCAGAAGAACAAAGCTCGCGTGATGACTGAATATCACACGGTGTCTTTACATTAAAAGCTGAACATCGTGACCTCTGTCTTGTTACCATCTTCTCATGGCTAGTTACCTTCTCTTTGTGAAAACCATCTGTACTTGCATTCACTGATATGGAAAAGTCTTCATTTTCAAAGGATTGTACAGACATCCCCTTTTCTATGCTTTTATCAGAAAGTGATTTTATAAGTTCTGGAAGAATTTGGCTTTTTGCTGGAAGAATACCTTCCTCACTGGAACAGACAGCTGGCAATACATCTGTCAACATAGGTGAAGTTACTGCTGATGCTTCTGTTGAAGTTAATAATGCAGCTGTTCCTGTCACACCGAGAACAGTGATCTCCCCTGCTGCGGCCGTTACTGGTGAAGCTACCAACATTTCAGGATTTTTTGACAGGCTGCTCTTTACATCCTTTCTGAGTAAAGGAACCAAGTCTTCTTCAATTATTGAAGTACGCAAAGCACTCTGATGATGAGATGAAGCAGATCTTTTAATTGACATCTGGACTGCATTTAAATCATCCTTCAACCCCGTTTCATCAAATTTTCTCTTTCTCCTCTCTGATGACACATGCTCAATATGAATCAGACTGTGATTATGTTGAGTCCTCTCGCTATTTTCTTCCTCATGTTCCACTTCAGTATTATGCAACTCAAATGTTTCAGTACCAGATGTCAACAGAGAAAGTGCGCCACCCATCTTCAAACTGCAAGCAGTTTCACCTGCTACGTCTGCAGGCTTGTCCTGGTCAATTTCTTTTCCACTGCTTCCGAGTAGCGTCACGGCACTCTTCAATTTGGACGTGAAGTTTCCAAACCTTGCAGATGGTTTTAAATTTGTATCATTGGAACTAATAATTATTTCCTCTTTTGGCTGTAATACAGATGTCTCAAGAACAGGAGTATAATTTACAACCTTTACCTTCGGAAACACAGACTTAACACTTCTTTTGCCACTTCTAACATCATCAGCCACACATCCACTATGTTTATGTGAATCATTGCTTTCAGAAGCGATTTCATCAACATCATCTTGTCCCCCCTTTCTCAGGTTATATGGATCTTCTTTACTGGTCCTTGTTTCAGTTGATGTTTCTAAACAGAGTACATTTTCATTCTCTATTCCTAAACCTGAGGACTCAGGTTCAAATGTTTCCAAACATGGTAAAGTTTCATTTTTTATTCCAATGGCCAAGAGCTCATCAGTGTTAAAAGGATTTGGATCACAGGGTTTTATATTATCTGTCAGCATTTCATTATGCACTTTTTGGAAGGTCTCTATATTATTCACCACACTTGGTTCACATATTTCTGTATCAGTTGCCAGTACCTTCTTAGATAAAGTGTCATCGCTCTCTGAAATGTTTTGCTTGGTAAACTTCACGTCCTTTACAGGAGCTTCAGTTTTTGATTTCAAAGATTCTCTGTTAGTTAATTTAGAGGGCACTTTACTACCAGAAAAATTTTCTTTAATGACTTTCTCCTCCAATTTTGCACATGGTTTCATAGGCTCAGTAATGACTTTCACATCTACTGCTTCATTACTCACCGAATTACAATTACATCCAGCAACTTTTCTCACTCTTGCTTTTGAGGGTCTATGACTGTTTTGTCTGTCAATTTCTACATTAAAGGCCTGTTTCTTATCATGGGCTAGTGATGACTCATTACTAGAAGTCATAACTTGCGAGCTATCATTTAAATCTTTAATGCTAGATGATTCACGAGACTTGCTGTTACACTTGTTAGCTTCCACAGATTTCAAAATTTTCAATTTCTGTTGACTTTCAATAGTTGGCAACGATGAGATTTCACGATTCTGAGGCATGGCCACAACATTTTCATTTACCTTATTATGAGTTTTCCTAGATCTGGTTTTCTTGACCACTGACTGTGACCTTCCAGAAGCGACTGGTAATAAAGAAGGACTTGGATTGTCAACAGAAGCAGTTTCTGGACCTGTAATGGCCTCTTCCACAGTCACTTTTGTCACATTGTCATCAGTACCACGCTTAGAGGCACTACGGCTTCGAGACGAGCGTTTTAATGCCTTGGGCTTCTTACCGTCTTTCCTTTTGACATATTTGCTACCTGATTTAGAAAGTCTGGCTTCAGGTATTGCTTCCTTATGCTGTACTTTTGTTTCCATCTGCTGTGCTATCTTACTCTTACCCTTGAAAGGAGGCAGTTTAGGATCCCCAGGATTTCTCTTTAGAGGGCTCTTGATCTTACGGCGACTGCTGCTACTAACCTCATTTAAAGGCAATTCCTTATCATGCTCTATGTTTAAAGGTGGCGTGGTTTCCAAAGCTGAAAACGTTTTGGTTAAAATGAAATCTTCAACTTTCTCTACAACTACCTTCACAGGACTTAATGTCTTTCTCCAGTCAGAGACTTCACATTCTACATCACTGCTCTGTGTGCCCACTGATGCTTCTACAATGGACACAGAAGTGACATGGCTGTCTTCCACGACCTCTGCGAGCTTAGGAAGAATTTGTTGCGATTCATATGGTGTCTCAGGATTATGCAGGCAAGGTTCAGCAATAACAGATGTGGTCACATTATTATCTAAAGTCTCTAAACTCAGATGAATCGTCCGAGCACTGCCCTTCCTGCTGTCGACTTCATCATCATCTGCAGTAAGTGTAATAGACACAGGCTTAAAGTAATTTGTAAGAGGATTGTCAGTGTTGACTACAACTGGTTTTCTTGTGGAAGACTTGGTGGAATGGTCAACTTTCTGAACACATCCTGTCTTGTTCTTATTTGATGCTTCTATTAGCAATGGATTACTGGAACCTGGAACTATGTTAGTAATATCAGAAGCCCTGGGAGACATATTTTTGTCTGTCAAGACCGCCAGCGATGCGGTTGGCAATTCCAGTATTTCCTGCAACTCCACGGGAGAAGCAAGTATATTATGAGAGTCTGGGTGACCCTGCTTACTGCTCCTCATAATTACATCTTGGCACACCGCCGGCTCCTCCAGTGGAAATGAAACAGGGGCATCAATTCCACCACTGGCAACAGACGTAGGAGCTGGGGTTGAAATTGACACCCTGATTGCCACTTCAGGATTGACTGAAATATCTTGCTCATGAACTAGCTCTGATTCAGCAAGTTCTGGCGTATCCTTGCTTGGTACTAAGATAGAAGTTGGCAAACGAACAGCAACAAACTCCAAGTTCAGTTTCCTGCCATTTGAAGGTAGTGTTGTTGGTTCACAATGATCAGATAAAAGTGTAAGAGACAATGGAGAATTAGGAGGCTCTGATTCTGCCTGGACTTGGGTGTCAAGAATTTCATGAGATAAAACTGGCTGCTTGGGTATATCTGCACTTACAGGAGAGTTATTACCACTGATAGAAGCTAACACAATAGAGCCTTCATGATCAATCATCATCTTTTTGCGGTACTCTGCCAATCTTTGTAATGAACTGGGTGGTTCCAGCACTTTCAATGAAGAAGCAATTAGAAGTTCTTTGGCTTCTAAAGCAATTGCGTCATTTCTCAGTGGCTCAATTACTCGCTGGGGAGCAGCAAAGTCAGACCTGAAAGCAAAGATTAATGACAATAAACACATCAAAGCGCTGCATGTCTCACTAGGCATCACTGAAACAAACAGCAGTAATAATTGGACCAAATCGAGATAAAGTGACAGGAGTATGAGGAAAAATATTCAATTATATCTTAATTATTTCACTAAATATTATTCAAGTAATAAAATCATGGACAAGACGGGCAGAAGGCAGATGGGACACACATACACAATTTTAAGCAGAAAATATGAAGGAAAGATATTACTTGTGAGACATAGACATATACAGAGTGAACGTTCAATGCCTTACAGGTTTTTTTTTTGTTACGCAGTCCTGCATGGCAACTGTTCAACACTCTTACTTGAAAACATCAGTCTTTATTACATACTACAGTAAGCTTTCTCTCTTCCTTCATCCTACATTTTATTCCACACTTTATTTCTAATGGAAAGCTTGAAATCAATCAATCAATCAATCCAGTAACCGTCTCTTCGCACAACACAAAAAATTAGAAGGCACTGAAAAACAAAGTTTTATCAAGAACAAATCCATTCCCTGGAGTCAATTATTTTATAAATTAGTCTTCAGGAAGTGGATGTGAATGGGTAGATTAAATTCAACTGGCACATGATTGATTTCAATAGCAGGACCTTGTGATTCAGTTGCCATGAAAGCTTCAAATCTTAAAAATTAAGAGGGTGTTCGCCAAGACCTCACGCACTTTCATGATGCAATTATCATTCGCAGAGTACGTTCAACTTCTTCAACGAAGAACCTTCCTCTATTTCTGTACTTCTAAGATGGTAAACTTCATGCTTTGAAAGATCACATAGTCCACTCACGTGTCTTGGGAACTCTCGGATATAAGCGAGTCTTCCTGCACAGGCTGGATTGTGCTATTGTACAGGGCAGGAATGTCATCTTTCCTGCGTCTGAATACTTCTTTCTGGTGTTTTGTCAGAATACGACCCTCATCCCGTAACTGCCGAAGTAAGGACTGGCGGCGTTTACTTGGCTAAAAACATTTAAAATCAGAGATAAACGAAACTTATGATAAAACAGCCTGCAAGAGGAGAAATAAATTAGGATTAAATGCACTGGGAAATGATACGGCGCAATTAATGTTTAAAATAATTTTACATTTGTTTGCACTACCAGTACACAAACTTATAAATATGAGATGTTACAATGATTTATAATCATGCAGAGTGGCCTGCAATGTTTTTCCTTCCAAAACAATTAACCTAATAAAAAAGCATACTTTTCACCAATATTCTATCATCATACACAATTACTAACCATACACTAAATACCACTAGTACTAATCCTATCACAAAAAAGTGATATTATTACTGACATGGAGCTAAAATTTATGGTTTCCAATGGCATTCTTACAATATTTCAGGAAATCGGTCAACTTGCATGAGATTCGAGGTTTTTCACGCGGAGTTGAGACTGTGGTCTTTTAGGTTGCAGGTGGTTACCAATGTTCTGGAAAGATATGACTCTAGGAGGAAGGAGCTTCCATCAAAACACTAGAAACCACCTTCGAGACTGCATGTCACAACCCAAAAGATGACAACATGGAACACGAACACCCACCCACACACAAACAAGAGACCAAGTAAGGAAATCATCCCAAATTCCTTCCAAAACTTAAAACTAAGTTCTTATGGTTCAGATACACAGAAACGATACGCCATCTACACATCACAATTAAAGTTCCCTTGCTTGTACTTTATTATACGAACCTTTTCAGTTTCTTCGGGTAAGACAAAGATTGCATCAGGAACCGAGTCAAGGGGCTTTCCCTTAGCATCCAGTTGGCTAAAGGTATCACTGACATCATCAGATACAATACAGAATATGTTTGGTATCTGCCCACTTTTGCCTGAGTAGTTTTTCCTTGCTTCCTTAAGAACTTGTGGTACGTTAGTATTGTCTTTAGCAAATGCTGGAATAACTACATTATCCCAGAACTTTGTGGTTACGTGTCTAATTTCTTCGACAGGATGCCTGAAGCCAGCTTCCAGCAATGCTGACATCCAACCAAGAAAGTCTTTGACTGATTTCTGAGGCAAGTAAGTCTCGATAAAAGTGAAATAACATTTCCACATTCGATGCAACGATTCGTGCCAAAATTTTGTACTTCCATCCTGAAGTGGGTTCACTTGTAGAAAAGAAAGAATGGAATTTGACAGACTAGCCACCATTGGAATAGCAGCTGTAACACTGGCTGCCTTCATGTTCTTAAAAAGTGTCTCCAAGCAGCTCATTATGAGTGCACCCACAGTGTTGTACCATTCACCTGAGCGTTCAAATACAGAAAACAAATGGGAAACCTTCACCACAAGATTCATTGCATTTGTAATGTAGTTTGTTGGTTTGGACACACATCCTCTGTCTGAAATTAAAAAAAGAAAAAGTGGCTGAGAAATGCTTTAATACATGCATAAGTAGCTTCAGTTATGAAGCGACATTTATATATGGAACAGTACCTACCGGGATTCTCAACGTCAACTGATTTGTTTTAGTCTAGGATGCTTAAAATTAATTAATGGGATGGATTAATAATATCATAAAATGTATAGCAAAAATAATAAAATAGTCCATATAATCCCCTGGCCAATATATGACATAGAAGTGTTTAAAAAGTAAGAGTAGGTACTACTTCATGCGAATTCACGCTTGTTTCCCACCAATCGTGTGGCAGTCTGTTATCTGTCACGATTGTTTAGAGAAAGTATGGATCATTATCTGGTGTGCAGGTAAACAGTGATCCTAAAACAACAGCTGTATTGAAGACTTTTTCCTTCAGATTTTGATGTCATATAGACTCACCAACTTCAGCCCTCAAGTTGGACATAGTATGTTTCTTTGAAAACGTTGGCATCTACCTACAAGTCTACACAGTGTCATAACCCAAAAGAACATCACCCTCACCACCTTGAAAAACCAAAATTCGCTTCCTGGCAGATGCAATTCATCTTCAAGATCCTTACTGAGGACGGTATGGCAACCAGCAACTGAAATCCCACCTTCTTTCCAATCTAACAAAGATCAGAATACACAACCTCCAGTGTGTGTGTCTATCATGATTTCATTCAATGACGCTGAAAGGTATCTGCTGCATTAATCCCAAGACTGTCCTTCAAGTGATGCCACTAAAAAAACCTTGCATCGACTGCTCAAGAGAATCCATTCCCCTAGTTCTTGGCCAATCCTGCTCACCAGTGAACAGTCTGTCAGTAAGGGGCATGTGTGTAGACATGCAAACGTAAGTGCTTTTGTCCCAAAAGCTTTTAAAGCTACCACTCCTCCAAAAGAAACCTGCACATCCCAATTCTGACTTAAAATTACCGTAAAGTAACTACAAGTACAAATATGGTATTACTGGGAAAAGAAAAAGTCCTTAATCAGAAAATTTCATTTCAGTTTTATATTAGGTAGATGAATAAAATTATAATCAAAATTACTTTCTATCAAACTGAGAACCGCAAATTTACTTTCCTACATAGGATATTTTAATTGTTTTCAATTTCTACATCTACAGCAAAAATCACCTGGTAGGAGAAGATATCTGGACTTGCTTTTCGACGATTGCCGAGTTCCGCATATATCACCATACGGTATCATCATGATGATATTCTGTACAGCTTTGAGTAGTGGCACAGCCTCATTTGAAGACGTGGGGCAGTGTTTAACCAAAGCTTGACAAATTTTCATAGCCACAGTCTCACACACTTCATTTATGTCCAGCGTTGGAACGTTGCAAATGGCAGCTTTGTGGAAAGATTTGTAAAGCTCCAGCCACATGGGCAATATTTCCATAGCCTAAGAAGCAAAAGAATAATATCAGAATTAAAAAAAAAAAATGTATAATTAATGGCAATCCGAATGTCTTATTAGGTCAGGAATGGACAAATCTCCACCATCGAAACTTGCCTGGTACAAACAGTCCACGGACACTGGAAGTGTTTTGCACAACAAAGGTCAATGCGAGTCTTCTGAAAATTTCAAAGGATACGCAGTATCCTTGTCCGCAGTCCACGTAAGTTGATACAAGCTGCAGCACGAGTTGCAAATGCTGCATTCTACAGTGCATCGAGTGTAATGAAAACATTTGTGTCTGTACGCTTATTAAGTTTCAGGTAATTATGCCAGATGACAGGGTAGCCTGTGATGAATTTGAAGCGAAGTACTGAAAAATATGGCAAAGTATTTTGCAGTGCCATCAGAAAGAAAAGCAATGACGAAGTAATATTAAAGTACCACAGACTACACACCTGCTTGTAAGTGATGCTGTAAAAGTGATAGAATGGGAAGAGCACAACGAGATAAAAGCAGCTGAGGTCGTGATGCTTCTCATTTCCTTGATTCACGTGGTTCTGATCCTTCAAACAGATGGTAAGTGCAGCTGCAATGATACCCCACACAGTACACAGAGACGCTTCCTCTTCACTGTTAATGTTGTAGTAAGAACTTGTAACTGTTTCCAACTGTTTCATCACAGACTGCGTGAACTCCAAAACATTGTGATGACTGATACCAACATCCAATACGGCCTTTAGAACTGGGATATATCTGTAAATATATGGCATGCATAAATTTATTTTATTAGAGGAACTGAATAGAGGAGTGTGTGAGAAAACCGAATAATTGAATTGAATTGAATTTTTTACTTCTAATTCCATAACAGATTTAGTACAGTATAGCATTTAATATTTAAATGTCCTCTGTCTGTACAGTAAGGATATTAATTAAATAATGTAACTCGTCAAAGGGTTGAGATATGGCATATTTAATAATCTCGCTACTACAGACACGTAGTTACGGAGTGCAGTTGCAACAAGAGACATTCACTGCATTAATATTCTAACAACTGAGCAGATACATACGTTTATGAACAGAAAAACTTAACTAATTCTTGAAGAGCTTGTACCTCTGCTGGTCAAGAAATTTCATGCCTTTTACTATGTCCAAAAGAGCCTGACTCAAAGCTTGCACACTGAACAATATTCCTTTCCTTCTCTACTATTCCATTTGTATATTTTTAACAAAGAACAGTTTCAATGTACAATCACCATAAAACTTACCGAGCATGTGACACTGCAGATTGAAGAAGAGGTCGCGATACCATCAACTCTATCAAGAACAAAGCCGCTGTTCCCGTCATGAGTTGGGTCGTACCCACATAGTATGTGGGCGAGGCAAGAACGGCAGGTGGAAGGGCGTAAGGCCCCATCACCAATCCCTCGAGAAAAAGGCCAATACAGTTTGTAGCCAAAGCGGGAGCCGTAGAGCTGGCACGCTCAGTCAAATTCTGCAGCAGCCGTAGCAAATCCTGAATCAGTTTCACCACTTTCTCACCTGGGATTTCAACATCGTCCATAACAACCTAATCATGAACATATACATATCCATATTAGAGTATGGTCAGTCAGTAATGGCAATGGTTGAGATTTGAGATTCTCATGATGCTACTGACATCAATTGTGGTCTTCTGGGTTGTGACATTACGTAGTCTTGTAGGTGGATATCAAACACTTCAGACTAACGTTGGGTGACCACCTACAAAATTACATGGTGTGACAACCTGGAAAACAACAGTCAACAAAGAAAACTGCTACTGACATGGTTTCAAACCGAAAGTCAATCATAATGAGCATTATCTGATGAACTACAGTTTTAATAGATCAGTTTGGTTTATGGGTTATTTAATAAAATACCTCTCTTCCCAACTAAAGAAGTCATTTAAAAACAAATGAGGTGACAAGAGGATTATCTAAGGCAGGGAAACAGTCAGAGCACTATCCTGGTATTTTTCTGGACAGACAGAGGAATGCCAAGAAAGAACATTGGTCTTCGTAACAGCAAACTGCCTCGGATTCATACAAAGTTCCTCCTAGATACAAGGGTGGAGGGTACTCATACTGGGCAAGCCACACCTCTTTATAATTTTGATTCACATCACATTAATTAAGACTTCTACTCCAGTGGTTGATGAGAGGGGGGAAAAGAAGACAACAACAACCTAAAACTAAGGCTAAATTAACTTGATAACTTGCGTGTTACACATAATACAATGGAGAGGGTGTCAAGGAATTCTGTTAATAACGGTCATATTTTTTTATTCCTTAACCTCAGAAGCATGTCTATTTGGAGGTAAGACATATTCAAATAAATATGTGCAATCAGCGAATGACGTTAGCCAAGCAGATTAACTTGAACGTGATCCTAGTTCACTCGTGAACTCACCGCGACGTGTCTCAGGAAGGAGTTCCAGATCCTGCAAAGAAGTTGCGAGCACCTCTCTACCTCGCTTCTGCTCGACAGAATTACAGCACACTCTCCAACAGCGTACAGTAACTCGTCTGACACATCCAAGAACACTGCAGGCTTGGTCAGCAATGGAACTTTACAGGGGTGGATAAAGTCCTCTTCTACATCCTTATTGTCCCTGTATAACAATAATAACAACAACAATAAAATTCACAATCATGTAAAATTGTCTGTAAGCATTAAAAACAAGTTCTATCAGAAACTTACAGACTACTCATTAAAATTAGTTTTACATTTCGTGTTTCTCAGTATTAGTAATTCACTGCCTGCACTTCAATTCAGATACAGCAATCATTCCTGGAAGTAACTAAACGAACACACACCCGCACACAAATAAAAACAGACACTCAAGCAATCCCCCTTGCCTAAAGCGAATACATCCATCATTGCACAAGTAATAAAAATGGCAAATTATTTTGATTACGAATACAGGAGCGCTAGTCTGTGCTAATAAGGCAGGATCAGATCACTCACTTTTGCCTCTCAGAAGTTTGCTGCTTGGCAGGCTCATGATCCAAGATATTTGCCAGAGCTTCAGCACAAGGTATGTGGAGAACTGCAAACTTCTTGCCTGGGGGAAGTTCCTTCGACTTGGCACAACCAAAACAGTAAACAAGAAAAGGAACGAGAACGCTTTTCCGATGGTATTCGATGCAGTTTTCAAGACGTTGGACGAGATGCCACCAAGTATTTAATTTCTGACGAGACATGACATCTGTCTTGGCATTATTTGGTTGTAAAGGCTGCACAAGCAGACGGACAGAGCGCGGTACCGCATCGTGTGGAACCTGTCACATCGACAAACTCTATCATCATAATAGAGACATTTCACATTAATTTTGATGTTAATTTATTACAGATACAAATCTACTCTTAAGATCCACATTATAGATACTACATTGCAGAGAATTTATTTACATTCCATATATCTTACATCAAACAATAGTTTCACATGTCCAAAAATCTTCCATACCTCAGTACTGGATGGCAGAAGTCTGTCGATGAGGTGTCGCCAGCAAACAAATGCCTGGACACGAACGTCCAATCTGTCAGATTTGAATGCCTTCTCTTCCACATTCAATAGTTTGTTGATAAGATGATTGTTGCCTTTTTTAATGAGCTCTGCACCCAAAACATCCAACACCAAACACCATATCGATGCCCAATCATCAGCAACACCCACAAGTTTCACCATCTTATCTGAGTAACTGTAAATAAAAAGTAACATTAAACAACCACTACTACCAACAAATACTTTAATCCATTCGCGCAGGACATCAGTAATTATGAATTAATAATTATTCATCCTACTGAACAAAATTGTGAATATTTCCACTGGTACAAATTCCTATTGCACATATAATCAGAACTTCATACTCCATCTAAGTTTTGTAACTGTTATTATCATCACTATAATGTTTACTAAATGCTTTTCATTTTATAAAATTAAAATGTAACTGAATATGGATCATTACCTGTCCTTGATGTCTTTCTTTATCTTTGGCCACTTCTCAAGTTTCAGCTGCCAATCTTTTGGTACGAGCACCAGAAGGGTCCCCAGCGCTTCTAAGCCCGCTTTCCTGGTATCTGTATCGGCTTCCTTCTGATAAGTGCAACTGTACACTTCATGAAATACAAACACTGAAGGCAAAAGGATTTCCAGCCAGAAGCCAAGATCTTTCTCAAACTGTTCACGCAGCAGCGAACCACAGACTCGCATCAGTCTTTTTGCAAAACACAAAGCCTCCAATCTTAGAGCTGACATCCAGGAAACACTATCTTGTTGCTTGTTCCAACTGCTATCAACAGTTTCTCCACTGACATTTACACATTTTTCAATCAGTTCCTGTAAGAAAGAGTAATAAAGCCCACACGAAACAAGTGCTGGATATTCCCACTTACTATATTAACTAATTACACTAATTACACAAAATATTACCGCTTACCTTATGGTCCGAATATCTTACAGTGGCAGTCACAACAGCATCAAGAAACTGAGGATCATCAAATATGACCAAGCACTGGAACAACTCGACCAGCGCGCGACTCTTACAAGAAGGCTTCACATTTTCTTCAGTTGCTCGAGATATCTTCAGCAATATTGAATAGCACTGTGAGGCCAGCTGCAGTCCCATACCCAGACGCTTTGGTAACAACTGTACTGCAGGCTTTAAGACCAACAGCACTGAAGTCCTTAACTTACTGTTGTCCTAGAATCAAAATTGTTCCAACTTCATGGAATTACTTTTTAACACATGCCAAATACAACTGCATGAACCAATCAATTTTTACTTCAATAGTTACTGTTTTGTCAAAGACAGAAAAACTTCATTAATTTATGTGGAAAAAGTCAAACAGCAAATGCAATTCTAAATTACCTAAAAGATAGTGAAAAAATGTCGCAGACATAAACAACAGCCTTTACACATTTGCAACCAAATGGTCTTTCGTAAGCAGTGTTATACTGTGGCACATTTTAGACGGCTGTTCCACTGACAGGACGTGCCAAAATAGAACGACGACACGTCACAATAAGTTTCATGGTCAAAGGATGTACAAACTAGGGACATTTACAAGTAATCACAGTTCAGTGTGGCAAAAGTGTATGAGCCAGAGCAATGTTTACAAATAGGTGAAGGAATTAAGGGAGTGGATGACTGCTGGGCCATCTCCTGTAAGGTGTTGAGCTAAAGGAGAAAATCGGTGTACTGAGGACAAACGAGTTCTTATTGTAGCATACCTTCTCAAGACACTGCAACAATGTCCTAATCAGCTTCTCACCATGAACGTTAAATGTCGACGGTAATAAATCTGTCTTGTTCCTAACGAGATGGCTAAAATACCTAAAATAAATTATAACCCTAATTAGAAATGGGCCTAGAATGTATGCTAGAAACATATCAGGAAAAGACACATATTACATTCACTTTTCAGTGAGCAAACAACAAAGTAACCTAAATTAACATTAACATTAACAAATACTGATTCTAATTAATATACAATATCTGTAACATGGTATGAAATAGATATTTTGGTTCAGCCACTGAATTCTGAAAGAAAAACATGCAATCCTTCAATATGACAAAGTGGACTAGCACAGTATACATATCTAATTCATACTCAGGAAGTATCTAAAATCTCCATGATGAATTCATTATAAACAATGAGAGTTTAATGGTTTTATTCAGTACCTCCAAGTAAATGCTACTTCAATGTTCCTTCACATCCACAATTCTTTTATATCTGATTTGACATTACATAATCCTGGCAACTGAGACAGCACTGTAAAATACCTTCATAAATTAAAACAAATATCAAGAAGCTAACAAGAATCAAAAGTGGGCTGAAAACAGGGGCTAGTTTATCAATTCTGCGATATCTGACAACCCCATCAAGGAAAATGCTTTTGTTAAAGTATCCTACATCTGTCATTAGTAATAAATTACAAATTTCACGAGTATTACCCTTCAAGTTCAGTACATGCTGCAACCTTGTCTTCTGTTAGTGCGTGCTCATTTTCCAGTATCATAAAACTTCGATCAAGCACAGAGTGATCCACTCCAATTGTGACCATTATGGATGGTGTCTCTCACAATGCTCAGCAACCAATTAAACCTGCATCATAAGTGGAAAACATGGTACACCTAATGCATCTTGTAAAAACATAACTGTTTTCTGTGGTAGCCTAGCCAGTATGACATCAGAGCTACCATTGTCTGAAACTGACTCGTGTCAACAAGAGACTGTCCCAAAAGACAAGGTCTGTGGCCAAAATTCTGCTCATGGTACAACACACTTCCATGAACTAAGTACTTACCATCATTACACCCAATGGCACATTCCTTGAAGGCTGCCTGCCAGCTTTTGTCTATACATGCAAGTGAATTCTCTGACTTGCTAACTCATCATCTACACTGCCTACTTTTTGCCAAACTTACTAGGGGGAGGGGTCTGATACACAATAGCTACCACCTTCATTCACCCTGATACATTTGATTACACTGTAATTCAATTACCCTCTTTCCTGACACTTTATCTGATAGTTATGTCACAAAAGGTTAGAATTACTGAATCTGATAAAAACTCCATTCTTTGTGATCAAATGGTCAGAATACAGTTTGGGTACCCTTAACCTAAGCTAACATAACATGACAAAACCATAACTCCCTGCTTTAGTTAGCAAGTGCAGAATTGTTATGTTAACGTGTAACAGTTATGCTGCATATGCTGCTGTGAAAAACATCTAGATACAAAAATCATACCTGTACAAACGTGTAAATGGCGTTAACAGAATTATGTACGTAGCCACAGCAATGCATTTACAACTTGAAGTGACATAACAAGCATCACCGAACAATAACTAAATTACTGGAATTACGCGCAACTGTGCCATCTTTAATTATCATAACACACAGAATACAAAAGCACATAAAGTGGGCTCAAATTTCAACTCCGCGGCATTCTACACTAAATTACGAAAATATGTCTGTGAACACAATTGTTCAAACTAGTTTACTAAACCATCATAGTCATAACAATTAGCATTTATATAAAAAAATAAATTTCCCTAATGCAAATAAGTGGCAATAGCACCTTTACATACTTGCTCGTACTTCTCAGACATAACTTTTAACGCGGGAACCACAAAAACATTTCCTCCATATAGGTGTCACCACTAGCAATATGGTCTATTTCAGTGAAAGCGTAAGGCAAAGGTCCTACAAAAAACAAGCTTAGTAATGCAAAGATCATGAAAAGAGCCTCACTCGCTCTACAATACAGAGCAACTCAAACTATACAACAAAAAAAGCCAGTTTGTACTGGCGAACGGTAAAATACTAACGTATGTACATGCATTTTGCATGCTATGTTCCACATTAAACGTATATCCATTATAGATATTTTATATTCCACTTCGTAACAACTGACACTCAAAGCCACATAAATGTGCCTAACTGATTTCAGAGCCCTTGAGAAACCAATATTTTCAGCTAGTCAAGAAATGTTCATTACTGTGTTCACAAAATCGCATCATTCGTCCTTATCCTGATGTCAGACGAATCTAACCCACAACCACATTTCCCTATATTATCCTCCCACCTGTGCCTAGGTCTTCTCCACTTTTAATTTATCCACAAGCAATAAGTCTGAAGATTCAAGATATTATCATATTTACAACTTTTACTCCCTCCCACAAAAAGATCAGCAACAAGAGAATATGAATTCTTGAGACAAGAATCCAAGTACTATGCTTAAAGCATCTTCAAATAATCAAAGTTATCTAAAGTAACTATACAAGAACACAAGAAATATAATATGCTAAAACACAATTTCATAACATTGAAAACTGATACTAAATACAGGCTGCCACAATAACATGAATCCAGAATAAATATCTAGCTTCACAGCATGACCATTACTGATCCCTGAAGGAGCTTAAGCATTTCTGAAACATCAGTTGGTTTGTACCACACTACATCATCCCAAAACAACAGCCATCTTGATATATGCTGCCATGGAAACCTGAAATCTCACCTTCCACCTGCTTCGTGCGTACTTAGTTATGGTCAGGTTTGCTGTGCATTTGGTTTAGTTTCCTCACATATCAGAATTTATCAATAAGCAAACAAATAAATTACAGGCCCCTTGAAATGTCACCATTTGAGAGAAGCTTGTAGATGAACCAACAGTTTGGAACATACATTTTTCCTAAAGCTAATTAGGATAGCTTGTAGATGATATGTGGTGAGCACAAGTACAAGGATTTACAGTACCATGTTAGGTTGGCTCCTAAAGCAGCACCCTGGTATCAAGGATGATTCTTCTCGCATAGAATACTTTAAACTCTATCTCACAAAGGAATCACATTTATACTGCCATCTTGCAAGCAACTAGCAGCCTGCAGGTTATCACAGGTGGACAGACTAAATTTTCCAATGTGTTAATTCTCTAAATGGGGAGAGGACGAGAATTTCAATGAAGAGCTAGTGGTGTACACTGCGGCATGGGTACTTCAGATGTGGACTTGCAGACAGATTAACTTTCTCATCTTGCAAATAAACATTTACAGCCCTTGACCTGCTCACAAAACAATTTAGGCCAGCATCAAGAATAAGCAAAGGAGAGTTCTGTAATATTTTTTAAACTGACTTAGATATATAACATCACTTTTGCAGGAAGATATTACATCAGTTACATATATTATACACACACAGAAAGAAAATAAACCACAAACCACATTTTCTTACTTAACTGTAACATTTGAAAATTAAAATTATATCCATTTAGCAAAATCAACACCAAACACAATGAACCACATAACTACAAGAAATTACTGTACTTAGTATTACTGTTCCCTTTATTTTCAAGACAATTCAGATTTGACTGATACAAATAAATGTTAGAACAAAATGTTTTAGATTAACTTATGTAATATTCTTCAAAGGAACAGGAAACAGGCACATCTTTGTCCCTTTATCCACAGAGTTCACAAAACATTATGGGGTATTTTGTCTTACATATCTTCATTCTTAATTTACTGGCATAATGACTTAGGGAAAAACTTTCTGGCTTAGCAGTAACAATTTTCTTTTAGTGAAACTTAACTGATTCAAATAAAATAAAACACTATTCAAGTGTCTTCATCCTTCACAAGAAAATGCAGAAACCAACTGTCCTAAGTTAACTGAAACGAACAACAAATGCTCACTGATCCATGGTACATACCACTTTCTCACTGTAACCACATCCACTCACTCAACATTAACAGCAGTAAATTTAACCATCAGTCACACCAGCTTCCTACAATGTTTATTTGAAATGTGTGTATGTATGTATATTGGTATATGTGGTCCACAAAAAAGAAAAAAGACATGGCAGCAATTGGCAAATTTCTCCTTTATACATACTCTTGCTAGAAATAGACAGAAAAGAAACAGATAAAATAGTCAGTCTCTTGTGGCCTATCTCATCTTCATGAATGAAATAATTTAACATTTGAAGCAATATATTTAACTGGAGGTGATGGATTGAGGAACACCGTTTACAGTCTTCGAGATGAGGATATCATTCTCGTATACCATCGTAGTCTCCCTTTCATTTTCGTAAATCCTGAAACAAGTGTAAAAAGCAGTATTAGTCATCTCTTATTTAAACTGCAATCACATTGATTCAACAGTACCGTGTAAACACGACAGAAGAGCTAGACTGATTTCCTGAGATTCCTATAATAAATGCCAATTAATTACAATATTAGTAGTGGCAGTAGTGGTTACTACCTCATTTCTTTCTGATTTGTGTGGGTTACCGTGTTGTCGTGCTGGTATAAACAGCAAAGGTACAGTTCTCTCTCCGCATAGTGGTCCAGAAGCTGAATTCTTTACAGAATAATCCTAGCACACTTCATTACACAACTTTAAGAACCTGCATGCATCTTGTATAAGTTTTGACGGACTCACATCAGGGTCTCCTGTCTTATGCAAAACCTCAAATGATGATGGAGGCAGCAATGACCTCAGATACAGTAACTTCTACCAGACTACATGGCGCTACATCCAGTAAGACAGACATCTTCAACAGCGTATTCTCATTGTGTCAGTGCCCCCCCTTATAATGAGAGCTACACGTATTTGTAGTTGTGACAGTGTAGAATATATCGAGCTTGAAGTGAACACACTTCAGGTCAGTGCTGTTCTGTTATAGTATCATTATATGTTAATGCCAGTCTTTCTGGGTTTCATTTAGAATCTCCATTCACTGTCCAATACTATATAAATCATTACTATATTATTACTTTTTTAACTTACTTGAATTTAAAAAGTACGAAAAAATAATAGAAAAACTGTGTATATCAGATCCAAGAAACTTCGTAGCCTTTAATTTTAAAATCTTAGGTTTTGCAAGATATTCCTGTACTTACTTCTTAGTCATTATCTTCTTTCCATCAATGAATCTGGTGGAAGTTGACGTCCTCTTAACAGTTCCACCACTTGGTCCGCTGACATTGCTAAGAGATGAGAATGATGTGAAGCCCCCAGAGCTTAGTTGACCGGCGCTGAACAGGTCTTCAAAACCTGGCATGCGAAGTTCTTGTGAAGCGAATGGATTGTAGATCAAAGAACTAATCAAGTTCTGTGGATGGGAGTTGCGCTGGTGATGGCCCTGTCCTTGACCCCGGCTGAAATCTACAATATGACAATAATAACAGTAAAGACTGGTGGCTGTGATGATGACAAATAGGTATGAAGAACTTGTGGAATAATGTTTGAGAGGGAAAAGCTGACCGAAGTGGTCGGAAGGGGGAGAGGGGCTATCCCAGTGCCACTCTTCCTACCACAATGAAAAAGACAGACATTTTCATATTTTTACCTTAGAATTGCATTATTTCAGGAAAGTGGTGAAAAAATGTGCATCAAAAGGGTTAGGAGCATTAAAATCAATATGCAATCTCTTGTAGCCAAAAAATGTGGTATTACTTGAAAATGAATAGAGGCAGGTGACATTTCTCATTTATGCAGCTTTTAATTTTTCATACATTCTCCTTGGCGAGGCTCAAAGATAAGAGAGCAGTCGAGACACTGTGTACTCCTTCAGAATGACACGAACAGTAGGGGTGGTGGAGGGGAAAAACAGTGATACATCTAACAACAGAACAATGAATACTCATAACCAGAAATTGAAAATAAGGTTAGGAAACATATGTAAAGTTTTAATAATGGGTGAATGTTAAACTGGTAATTTTTTTTCACATTAACACCATACCTTGGAAGAGATCACCAAACGGGGAACGTCCACCGAAGAACTCTCTGAACACTTCTTCAGGATCACGGAAAGTGGTGAAGAAATCGTGTATGTCATCACTTGGAGCAGCACCATAATGCCTTGAACGGCCTCGAGACGCTTGTGAATAATCCTCCTTTCCATATTTGTCATACATTCGGCGTTTCTTCTCTGAAGAATCAAAAATATCACGTGAACCTACAGCTACATGCATGCATCAAATGTATATTTAAAATATACTGAACTTACCATGTGGATACATATGTGCATGCTATGGCAAACTACCTTCATGCCACAAATGCTTATGTGCAAGTCACACAGAACACGGTGGCAAATCAGGCTGTTTCAAACGCAACGGTGCACATACAGATCCGCTTGATGCACAGTGACTCTTGCCACATGGTAAGTTAAGTAGGGGCATGGTGACTTCTTGGCCACCCTGTACTTTAAAAACATTTGGTTAATTCTCAATCACTGTATACACACTGTGTTGAACACACAACATTTGAACTTCCAATGAGTCAGAGACTGAAAAGAGAATTAGTTTATGAACTCTCTCCATCAAATGAGAAAGCTGTTAAAATGATCAATATGTATTACTGTTGCTTAGATGACAGGCCACGAGTCAGTAAAGCTAATACTAAACTAATATTGATGACGACGACAACAGCAGCAGGAACCTTCAAACTTTAGTATTTGAAATAATCACAAGTGAGGATCAATAAGTTTGTGTATTTTTTTTTGCTGTGGTGGGGAAGATACCCCAATTTCTTTAGTAGCATTAGAAACTATGCTAAAGAAGACAGCCTGCAGCATTCTTCTCCATACTCTATCTAGGACATGCTGTTCCTTATAATACAAAAAACATTCTTGCTCTTACTACCGAAATTCCATACTTCAAAACATTATTTTTCTGAATGTGTGTTGATTTTGTAATCTGGTATACTCACATTCCTTAAGTGTCATAAAGAGGTGCTATAAACCAAAAACACTGATTCTGATTATCATAAGGGGGGGGGGGGGGGG